ACATTTAAATTCTTTAAACATCAATATTTAAACAGTTATTAAATTTTCCAAAACAAAGAAATTTAGAACACCCTTACCTATAAAAGCGTAACGTAAAGTTCATTTGTAAAGGTCACAAAGCATATGAATGGGTTGAATGAATTTAAAAGAGACAAAACGGGACCCTAATACTAAGACTTCGCTGTTTATCTGTCTGACCGTCTGTCACCAGGCTGCACCTCATGAACTGTGATAGCTAGACAGTTGAAATTTTCATAGACAATTTACTTCTGTTGTCACTAGAACAGCTAATACTATAAAACTATACTTTAAAAAATACTTAAGTGGGGCTTTTATCTAAAATGTTGACATGATTTTTTTTTTGATGTTTTTTTATAGATAATGGTACTGAACCCTTGGGGCGCGAGTCCATCTCACACTTGGCCGACTTTTGTTGTTGTTGGTTGTTAGATTATTCTACTTCATAGTCTAAGTAAAGCTTGTGAGTGAAAATATGATAAACAATCCATGCAAATGGCATTCAGTCTACTCTTTTAGCTTTGAGTGCATAAAAATATAATAGATTACTTTCTGCCCTCTTCACTAATAAAAGTCTTGTCAGCAGTTGTCTTTGTGAATTAGCTAAAGAAACCAGAAAATAATCATAAAGATCCCTACATCTGGTTAAATGTCTGGACATTTGTTCACACATCATATATAACATTAAATGTAATATTACAGGTGAACTGAATTCCTATTTTTCGTTTTTAGATTTCTTGCCCACAGATGCCTACATCTGTAATCTGGTGATAGAATTAGGTGTTGTTTGGAAAAAATATAAATTGAATAGTTTTATTTTAAATTTGACTATGATAAATAACTAAGCCATTTTTAATCATAAGAAGTAACCAGTTATAAATTGTTGTGCACATTACAGTAATGTAATACACAAAACATATCCAGCGACTCTATTGACATGCCAAGCAGAAATGGTACAACTGTGCTAATTATTGCCTAATGATGTTGAAAACAAATACACTAATAATGGAAATACAATAATAAATTATGTGTTCCTTAGTTAAATATTAAGTAGAAATATTCATACAAGGTTTACATAGGTGTAATGTTTAACAATAAAGAAAACATTTGAACATTTGTTCTTAGAAACTCATAAATTAAATTGAAAACCACATGATAAATAAGTCGCTTTAGTGACAAATGGCAATGCTTCAAATTTTTACCTTGAAGTTTGTTCGATTCGAACTATTAGTCCTATACAATACACACAACACCTTAGACCATAATTACTGACCGTGACGTAAGCTTCCAATGTACCTACATTATCGGAGCGATACGAGCTATATTTACTTGTATAAAAACGTAATTTAAATAGAAAAGAATAATTATCTTTATCAATCTATGGTAGTATGACATTAAGCGCTATTTTAATCAGCATAAATCAAACAGCGTAGAAAAAAAATCAATCGATTTAAGAACATAATGCAAGGCTGAAAATGGCCTATTTAAATCGTGTAGTATTCGCGAAATACAAAACAAATGCTAAAAATAAGTCAAACGCATTGTTTTAAAAGTAAAATTATATGTAAATTTTACTTACGTGGTTAGTGGATTTCTCAAATAATAACTTTAACCGGCGCAACAGCAACACGCGGCTTCTGTCACTTTCTAGGCTTCTACCTTCTAGCGAAAATGAAAAATAAAATAATGAATATCCCAGGGTTGCTTTTAAAAAAAAATGTGTTGTACTATAACAAAATTGACGTGATTCTTTAAAATAATAAAAATTCCACAGCATTATTATATCAAGTTGATTGTAATGTCCTGTTTAAAACGTTTTGGTTTAATTGTATTCCTACAAAATTTGGACATTTTAAAGCCATTTGCTGCAAAAGATTTTCACAACAATTTATTACCTTTTATTAAAACACAAAAATATGATTTATCGTTTCTTTAAATTAATAAAGCATTATTATAATTAAATTATGTTTGACTTTGTTGTGTTTCTGTCAGCACTTAGAACTAGGGGTGTCCATTTAAAAAAAACGTTTATTTTTTGGAGTCAGTTCTTCTTTCTTTCTTTATGGCTTCTCTTTAAAGAACTCTGCCAATATCAAGTCAGTCATGGGAGTGACCTGGAATCAGTTACTCTAATTAAAATTAAGTACCTGTTACACCTGTTCCTGTTACTTAACATTAACAGGGACACATATCTGTTAAAAAATAACTGCCTGTTATATCATACTAAATTGTGACAATTTGTGTAACTTTTACCAAGTAACATACTGTAACAACTGTTTTCGTTAGTGATTTATGTGTGTACTTCGTATTTCCGAACCAAGTAGGTAGCAGTTAAAAAATTATCATGCTGCACGTCCGCACTTCTTTCAAAAAAAGCTATATAGTCTAAGACAGCTGCAAGAAAAAGAAAGACTTTGTAACAGTGTTCAGTAAAAATTATGATAGAATGTAACAGTTTTGTCTCTTTCTAACTAACGTAACAGTCGTAAGCATGAAAGAAAAGCTTGTGAAAGCGTGTTAAGGAACACTTTGTGTGGAACAGGAATTTAAATAATTTTGTATACTTGTATCATTAAACAAATAAAAAAGGATAACAAAACCGTATAGTTTCTTGCTGGTTCTTTTCTGGCCAGGTGAGTGAACGGGTGATAGTTTCTTGAGCTTAACATAAGCATATAATAAATAAAGAAATTTGACTTTGCTATCGAAAACTATGTTATTCTTTGGCTTTTTGAGAATTCGTGTGTTAACCAGTGTCCTCGCCCTTTTTTTGTTTTGCCCTAGAGCTAAATATGTAGCATGTAATTAATTGATTGCTTACAATTTTGAAAACCCCAAAAGTATGACATTAGTTTAATATACCAGTTGAAGTAACTTTGAACAATATACTTCATCAAAAGCAAAAATAATAATTTAGTGTACTAATAGAGTTAAATCAAAACGCAATCCATCAAGAAATGAAACATTTTTTTTGTATTTATTTTTAAAAATATATAAACACACCCAGATGCAACACAACTATCTACGCATCATCTTATATTGCGGGACATTGACATTAATAAACTAAAGTGACATTACGAAATAAAGTACCACATTGAGTTACGTACATTTTTTTTTAAAATAATGAACTTCGTATACGAGATCCATATTTGTATGTGAATATAACTGTTCCGCATATCAACCTATATTTAATGCTTAAAGCATGCCTCCCTTAATGAATTACGATTGTCATTCCCCTACGTGTAATGACTAATAATTTGACATAGGCGGAATTGTGATAACTCACAAAGCAAGTCATTATTAAGAAGAAGAAGAACCTATATTAAATAGACTGTAATAGGGACTATAGAGTTCAGTGTCTGGTATAAATTTTAACCAGCTAGGTCCACTCGTGACTGAGAAAATTGGTGGTGATTTGTTACCAATTTATTATGTACAGTACAGAACTCTCGGCGCACGAGTTCGATTCGCACTTAACCAGTTTCTAATATTAGTCGTGAGTTCTGTAGGTTTTTATTGATAGAAATATAATTTGAGGCATTTATGCTTTTATTATGACATCAAAGCATTGAATATACAATAAAGTTATAATAGATAAATTATCCCTACTAAGATAAGAATAGCGTCACTTACAGTAGATGTGTTCGTTCTTTAAGTAATAAAATAATATATTATTTTAATTAATCATATAGCTTTAAATATTCTTCTGTGGTAGGGCCACGCAGCAGCTTCTACTGTTGCACGAATGGGTAATCTCTTTGGGATAGTACCACGGCACACTGAAGACGGGCGTGAAGTTGAAGGATTATAATTGCCTGTTTTGTCTGGTGAGACCGGTAACCGAGCCAACTTTTTAAGGGTTGTTAACGCATCTTGTGTTTTTGGTGTCCATGGACGGCGGGAATCACCATCAGATAAGCAATTATCGCTCGTTTGTCAACTTTTCACATGATTACTTTCATTACATAGTAAATCCGCACAATACAACATTACCGCGACGCATCCACGATTATTTAGAGCAAGGAACGAGACACGACGAAACGAAATGACAAGACCCATAAAACGCATTACATTTTATGCACGATGCATTAAATTTTACTTTTCTGTATAATATTTTGTCACATACCAAATTATGCTCTAACTTAACGGTCTAAGAACTTATATTCAAATGAATGCTTAAAATTAGAGGCAAACGTTCTAAGATAATATATTTTGTTCGGATTATACTTTACGTTACAGTATTTTATATATTTTTTGAATACAACTAAAATCAGTGCGACCAATGTATACTTAAGAGTTGAGATGATCAGTGTAGCTATTTAACTTGACCTCGCATGACGTATTTGTTCAGAATGTGGTAGGGCCACGCAGCAGCCTCGGCTGTTGCACGAATGGGCAGGCCCGTCCGGGTAAGTACCACGACCTCACAGAAGACCGGCGTAAAGTGGAAGTATGACAAATACTTTCGCGTTTCGTCTGGTGAGTGAGGTAGCCGGAGCTCAATTTTCAAAAGGTTGTCAACGCATCTGTAACCCTCGAGTGTAGCAGATGTCCATGGGCGGCGGTATTCACTTAACATCAGGTGAACCGTCTGCTCGTTTGACAACTTTTTCGCATAAAAAAAAAAAAAATGTATTTGTGATTGATTGGGACACTCATTTTTTTATTCAATTTTGAAAATTGATACTAATATAGCGTAATAAATCATAGGTGTTTTATTAGTAGCGTATCGTTATAACGTTATCAATATATAGTCGTTGCGAACGAGTAACAGGCTAACAGTAACTGTCAGTGTCACTTGTATTGTAAGCGTAAACCCTATGAGTCAAACAGTCATGTTTGTCAATTATTTTTGAAAAGTTGTTTTGATGACAGAATTACAGAATTAAAATTACAATTGCTTTCTAAATATCAATGAACATATCATTGTTCAAAATAAATTAACGAGTGGTTCTATGTTAAACATTTAAAATATTTTAGAAATGTCTAGTATGGATGTAAATACCATTGGAACACACAAAATAAGAAGTATACCAGGTGGAGAGGTAATATTCCTTTTATTTACATTTGCCTAAACATATAACAAAAATCCCAGTGTGTATTCAAAGTATTAAAAATGTGATTGCATTTACAGAAAAATAGGCGCACCATATCGATGAATACTGTTATACAAAACAAGTTTTACGATAGTTTTTTATTGAGTAAATCCGGTCGACCTAAAATTATTCAACCTAAACAAGCAGCTAGAAAGTCTTTGTAACTTTGTGGAAACATGTTAAAAAACGGTGTTTTTTCCATTAGTGCCGTGTGATTTTCATTTTAAAAGTTATTACTTTAAGAAATTCAAAAGCTTAATACCTACAAATGATATATTCACTTAACTGTATTGAGCAATACTTAATCATATTACTGATTGATATGATAAACATTTATTATCTTATTTGTCTAAACTGAAATCATGCTAGATAAATCAGTAGATATAAATGATTATGACAACCTTGTTGCAGTTTATATAAAAACATTTTTTTTTTAATTTATATTTAGAATAGTTTTGTAACAATTTAAAAAATAGAACTCTTATGTCACTTAGCATTAATAGTTATTATTGGAATTAAATATGTTTACCATTATAGTATTATAGACCTCATAATTCTTAAAGACTTCACTTGGAATGTATTTCAAATACTAAATGATGTCTATAACTTAAAATTATTTTTAATTATGACTTCTGTTTTAGTTAAAAATATAAGAACATCTGAATTCTGAAATAATCTAAATAATTTATATTTTTATTCCAGTAGCCTTGACATTGTAGATTAATGAAAATTTTTTTTTTATTTTTATGTCATAATTTGCTGACGGTTCACCTAATGGTAAGTGAATACCACCGCCCATGGACATCTGCAGGTAGTTATTGCAGTTGTCCATGGGCGGCTGTTATCACTTAACGTCAGGTGGACCACTTACTCACAAAGAAAGTGCCTGTGTACTCAAGTCAGACTTGCATATGGCTGTTTTTTTTTCATTGTTTCAAAAGAAGTAAGTTGAGGAAAAAATTATTTAAATTTACTGTAATTTTATAGGTCATGGAGTTGAAAAGTATTTGGCAAGAGCAGGATGCTGTGGTAATTTTTTTCCGCCGCTGGGGATGTATGCTGTGTAGATTATGGGCTAAAGAGGTAAGCACAATAGACAAAGTATGTAGTAGATGATAGAGGTGGATGGAGGTTAAATCAAATTGCTGCTATTATGAAGACAATAGAATATAGATATTTTCTGTTGCAGTTGCAAGTTATATAATATTGCAAATTGCTGCAACCGCCTCCTTTGTTCATAACATTTTTCACTTATAAGTTTAAAAATGATTTTAAAGTTTTTTTTTTATAGTGCTAATCTCTGCACTTAAGATTGAACATTAAAACATGTAGAAAAAGTACGAAAAGATTGTCGCCGCTGTGGGAATCGAACCCACGTCTTCGGCATTCGCGGCCTGACGCTCTAGCCACTGAGCTAAACGGCTGATAGCCACAGCGACGAAAATCTTAACGATTTCTTTCTACATTGTTATTTAAGCACTTGAAGTAATGCTTAGCTTAGCTATTGCAACATCCAGTCATTGGCCACTGTATCATTTTGCCTTTGAATTCTTTTGATGGCATTTATATTTGAAGCCATATTATATTTTTTTGAAGGCATTTATGCTGTATAAAATATTCTGTTCAGACAAGCAGGAAATTCAATTATCAGAAAAAAAAAAGTAAATGTTAATGAAGAATGGATTGCATATTTGATATATAAAACAGGCTTGGTTAAGTGTTTACTTACGTGAACTGGTTATTCCATAAGATGGTTAACTTGTTTTGTTTGCAATTGTATGATAAACAATGCATTGTTTGTTTTTATTTAAGTATTCTCAGCTGCTTGACCTGTAATTAAATTCTGCTAATCACATTTAAACTATTTTCTTTTAACTTTTATCATATCCTTTTCATCTTGCTTGTCGGTTGTGGCCAGCCCACGATTTCTGCGTTCAATGAACGATAAAATTAACGCTTTGAACTTTCCAGCTGAGCGAAATTGCACCAGTGTTAAGGAAACACAACATTAGGCTGGTGGGTGTAGGTGTGGAGGGTGCCGGTTCAAAGGAATTCCTGGAGAGCAAATTCTTTGATGGAGGTGAGAATTAAACTGTCGTTTTCAAGCGCTTAATTATCATGTGCTCAGTGGTTAAGGAAAACATCGTGAGGAAACCTGCATGTTTCCGATGTTACGACGAAATAACCTCCTCCTTTTGAAGTCGGTTAAAAAGAGAGGAATATTTCGAAGATATGCGAAGGCCGCCAATCCGCAGTGGGATCGCGTGGTGGACTATGCCCCAATACCCTCTGTACAGATGAGACCTTTGCCCAGCAGTGGGACATGTATAGGCTGTTACTTTTTTTGTAAAATAAATAAAAAATCGCATTCTAAAAGAACAACTACAAGTACCAATAAACTTAATGTGAAATAATGTATCGCATTAAATAAAAGTGCTTCTTTATTTTATCGATATTTTTTTTAAATCCCCATAAAAATGTCGCCTCGTATCATTCCAGAGCTTTATCACGTGGAGGACATATCGACGTACCAGAAGTTGGGCTTCAAGAGGTTCAATGTCGTCTCGATCATCACCTCGTTGTTCTGGAAGCAGTCGCGCGAAGCTATCGCCAAAGGGAAGGGGATGGGTAACTAGGTTATTTGTGACGTCACACTGTCTTTTACGGAGGGGGAGGTAACCACTAGGAGGTTTAGAAGGTGCTAGGTGATTATGCCATGGTGTATGTACGTAGCTGCGAGGTAGTTCGTGTATACCATAGAAGCGGGTGGGATATAGGTCTCTGGGGTGATGAGTGGTCATGACGATGATGATGAAACAGATGCCCAATGGTTGAATCGACGAGCTTGATACAATACGTCACGATACCTCCATGAATGAACATTTGCAAACGTGTCTAATCCACTGACCATACCGTATCAACCCCTGAGAAATGTTTGACCTTCCCATTCCACTTGTATGTCCTTATCGATTTATCAGCTTTGCTTTAACGCATAAGGATTTTGATGCTGTTTTAACTTTAAAAGCTGCTAGGTCAGGGGTAGCCAATGCTTTGGTACACAGGTCCTATTTTTCATCTTAAAAAAGTTGAAAACGGATCTCCCAATTGATTTTTACGAGTTCTCCGATGTATCTCCGGATTTGAAGTTCCAGTGACACTGAAATTAATATGGGACCACATGGGTGTTAAATTGATCGCGATGTAAAAAAAAATCCAAAAAAAGTTCTGAGGCAACGAACCTCATTGTCGGCTACCGTTGTAGTTTTCTACCGTCCGTTCGAGGGGGTTGAGGGTTGAGGGTTGAGGGTTGACGGGGGCGCAGCTCGGGCTCCACAAGCCGCCACGCCGCAGGGCTCCGCTGCGACCTCGCGGGCGACGGCCTCCAGGGCGGAGGCGCCCTTCTCGCGGGGGGCGGCGCGGGGCTCCGGCGCTTCGCCCAGCTGTTCCCGGCCGACAGGCTCGGCGGCGGCGAGATACTTAAGGTGGCACGCCAGTAGGGCTCCCAGTGATCCGGGTAGACCACTGTGATGTACCAGGATCACTCGTTGAATACCCGTTCTTTCATATTAGTTGTGCACCCAATCTAGATCACCTGGTTGAAATGGGAGGGTGAAGTATGAAAGGTATATTTTTGACGCGTTTAGGTTCTCCGATGACATATTCATCTGCGACGCGTTTAGGTTCTGCGAATACCGTGCAGAATGTGATATGTCCTAATTTTATTATATAGCGACCTCGGCTTCGCACGGGTGTAATATACCGCATCAAGATCCGTTGTGTAGTTTTAAAGAACTAGGCATACATAGGGACAAACAGACAGCGGGACGACTTTGTTTTACATTATGTAGTGATGCACAGCAAAGAGATGTTTACATTTCAAGTGACTTTTTACCACAGTCACTCACTTGTTTTGCCTTCCCGGAACCCCTCCACTAACACTTAAACTTTATGTCATGATGTTAAGGTTCAAATTGACTTGTACGGGAATATAGAAAAGTGTGGTTTTTAGGCAATTTTTTAATTTTTTTTCTTTCATAAGAACCATCTCCTGATAAAAACAAACACAACAAAAAAAAGAGAAATGGGTCCATCCGTTCACGCGTGATGGCGTGACCAAGGGAAACAGGGATTATTTTTTTATATATATATAGATATATAGATTTGCTAATAAATCTTCCAGGAACATCGTAGTGCATTTATTCTCTCCTGCATATCCCCATTCGTGTACCCTCAACCTTTATGCTTACACATTGAGATGTTCATTGACGATCTGATAGATCTCAAGTTCTCCAGGTCTAGCGCTAGTAGTTCAATGATAGGATAACCGACGAGTGGCGAGTTCTTACATTCCAGTAGTTTGCTTCCTGCTCCCCTTCCCTCTGCCCCTCTAAGCTTTTCCGTCCCGTGCTGGAAAGGTTTACGATAGGACCACGTACGAGCTGACGAATTCCTTCGTTCCAGCAGTTTGTTCCTCGCCCTCTCCCCTACCCCTTTACCCTCTAAGGTTTTCTGCCCTTTGCTGCAAAGGCTTATGACAGGACAACGTACGAGCTGACGTATTCTTTCATTCCAGCAGTTGGTTCCCTGCTCCCTTCCCCCCTTTCCCCCACTAAGTTTTTCTGTTCCGTGCTGGGAGGGTTTATAACTGGGCAACGTACGAGCTGATGAATCCTTTCGTTCCAGCAGTTTGCCTACTCCCCCTCCGTTTCCCCTTCTAAGGTTTTCTGTATGGAATTCCACCAACTCCACCCCTCTTGAGTTAAGGGACGCCCCCCACTTCCCAGGGCTGGGCGGCGATCTGAAGGGCGATTGGACGCAGACCGGGGGCGTGGTGCTGGCCAAGGGCGGTGACGTCACTCGCCCCTTTGTCCAGACGGGCCCGGGGGACCATATGCCCAACTTGGACATTCTCAAGGTGGGTCCGGGCTATGGGTACGGGTTGTCGCTTGCATGTGGCAGCTTTTAACCACCGACGTAAAAAGAACCCCTCTTTTATACCTTTGACGTGTCTGTCTGTGTATCTGTGTGTCTGTGTGTTGGTCTGTGACGTAATATTTTCCAAACGTTTGGACCGGTTGTTTTGTTTGAAAGCTGACGTGATCGAGACGGCTCTTAGCTGTGATTTGAGGTTTTCTGTGTCAGGTGGTTGCAATAATGCATAATTTATAATTTAATATTATTAGTTGCTCAGGTGTGTAGTTTTTATAGAGTAGCCTTCATGTGAATAATTTTACTAGGTATCCTCTAGTTGTATCATATAGCCTCCACATACACAGCTTAGTTTTATCTCATCTCCTCGTCACTATAGGGAGCCATAAACATAACATAATAGTGGTAAATACTAAAATTTTTATCGAGGCATTTCGTTTTATTTGCATAATATTTATTTTTAATGGAAAAAAAATAACCTAACATCTCTGCTCCTCTCTTGGAAACTTGATATGTAATAAAATCTGGTAAAAACAGTTCATTATACTCATATATATTTTATTTATGAAATAGACTATTTTTAGTTATTTGTTCACATATCCAGTTTCCCACCTCTATTTAATATTTTTAGATTATTACTTTCAAACGCCGCGTTGCTGCATGGAATATTGCCTAACTTAAATTAATAATTTAAGTTCGGCAATCATACCATGCATCCTCTTTTGTCTCTGCGTCGCCCATAGGTTGACTGGGAGAGAGGGCCTTAGGCATTAAGTTCGCCTACACAAAATGTTTATTTTTTGTGTAAAAGTATAAATAAATAAATAAATAACTTAAACTTAAAGCAAAAAATATATCATTGTAATAATTGCTTCCCCCGTCTCCGCAGCACTTCAATCTGGAATCGGAATACCGACAGGAGACAATGGCGAACAAGAAACGCGAGAATCTGGAGTGCAAAGTGAGTGCGATGAAATTATGTATACGGATTTTTTTTAATACAAAAATAACGGTCCGCTATAGCTCATTGTGCGGGTGCTCGATTTTTATTCAATACACCCGAGCAACCCGAGTTCGATCCCCGGTTCCGGCACAATTATTAATTTTAACTGCTGACTTATCATTGGAAAACATCCCGAGGAAACGGGCATGCTTTTTTTTTATGTGAAAAGTTGCCAATCGAGCAGGCGGTTTCGGGTGTAGCAGATGCGTTGACAACCTTTTGAAAACTCGGCTCCGGCTACCTCACTCACCAGACGAGACGCGAAAGTATTATACCTCCACTTCACGACTGTGTTTCTGTGAGGCCGTGGTATTTACCCCCATTCGTTCAACAGCCGAGGCTGCTGCGTGGCCCTACCAATCTAGATACTATATTACTTTCTAAAAATCAACAAAGAAAACTACTTCGAAGATGTGAAGTCCGCTAACGGTGTAGCGTCGACTTTGCCTAATATCTTCTGTACAGCGGAGGCCCTTGCCCAGCTGTGGGACATTTATAGTCTGCGTACTTTACCACCGTGGTGGGGCCTCGCTGCAGCTTCGGCTGTTGCACGAATGGGCAGGCCCGTCCGGGGAAGTACCGCGGCCACATAGAAGACCGGTTTCCGCTTTGCGTTTCGTCTGGTGAGTGGGGGCAACCGAGACCCACTGGTAAAAGGTGCCAACGTGTCTGCAGCCCTACTTTGCGAATGTCCCTGGGTAGTGGCTATCACTTAACATCAGGTGAACTGCCAGCTCGCTTATCACCTTTTCACGTAAAAAAGTTACCTCACTCACCAGACAAAACAGAAGCTTCTAAGACAGACATTTCTAAGACTAAATTATTGAGTGATACAGAATAAAAATTAAATAATTAATAAAAATAAGACAACACGTAACGTAGTCAGTTTGCTCTATGTCAAACACTTAGCGTTTCCAGACCGAAGCTCGACATTTCGAGGACTACATTATTAAATACAGAATAAAAATAAAAGACACCGTTACACGTAAAGTAGTTAGATTTGCAACTAATTATGTGTCAAACACTCTTAACGTTTCCAGACAGAAGCTAAATCGTAATGGCGATCTGAAGGCGTTCCTCATCGGTCCATTGGCGCCGATACACGCCATATGGAGCGGCAGGCGGTGCAAGCAAAGCAGGGTCTAACGTATTGTATTTAACGGGATGGGTACACTGAAATTTTATGCGGTTGGAATTAAACGGTTGTTGTTTATATGGTTTTATTTATCACCCCCCCTGTCAAGCATCTTGCGTTTAGTTCTCTTGACAATGCACGATTGCCAAAATGCCGCTATTTTTAATCCAATATGGCGGCCGCCGCAAAATGACGATTTAAAAAAAAACATTGTACAAAATTTTGAAACTAGAGATGTTTTAAATCCAATATGGCGAATACCGCAAAATGGCGATTTATCATTTCCACACTAAACCCCTTTGATATAAGTATCAAATGAAAGGGCTTGTTTTTTCTTAACAACTAATATATATTTGGCGATCAATCGTAACAACTATAGTTATTTGGCGTACGTTGAAGTTTCCGCGAAGACCGAGTTAGCTCATGTAATATAATACATAAAGTTCTCCAAGATAATTGAATATTTTATTAAATATTTTATTTTTCTTTTATGCCATTCACATATATTTATTAATATAAAAAAACAAATTTTGTTCGTTTATCTTCTGGAAACTCGAACTAGCCCTAGATCTGTACCTGGTATTAAAAATTAATAGTAATATATGTATTTAAAACCGCTTGAAACGGCTTAGTTAAAACTAATTAAAAAGATCGAATTTATTAATTCGTAAGATTTATTTTTGCTTATTAACTTATTGTCATATTTGGCATGTAATTGTTAAATTACAGACACAATTAGCATAAGCTGGATATTAACGGCATAATGGCGTATCAATACTTCTTTATATAAACAAGAAAGTACAATGATTATGAAACAGGGTGAAGTATATTGTAATTCTAACATTTTTTTCATTCAGTATGAACAGAATGGCGATAAATGTTAAAAATGTTACTAGCTAAAAATAATAAATAAAGTGCAAGCGTTTCTAACATCACGATTTAAAAACCTAAACTATAAAAAATCGTTAGAGTTTAATTAAACCACGTGAACGGTAAATAGGAACACGCTTAAATAAATAAAATAACTCTTGTCTACTTATGTACACACGTAAGAAGTTATACTTCTTTGGCACAAGAACAAAAAAAGATAAAATTAAACAGGAAATATAACCATGGAGTTATGTAGTCGATGAAGGGGATAAAGGGATTGATTTTTCTTTCATTCAACCGTCACTGCAACATATTTCTTTGTGTGTCTACCTCGTCCTTTCGTCGAAACCGTGCATAGGCTGTAGTTAGGTGTCAAATAGTATATCCTTTCATCGTCCACGTCGTGGTATATAATATTGTTGTCCGCATCGAAAACAACCCTAAATGGTGTGCCCCTACCGAATGCTCCCAACTCGATCAGACTGTCCTTACTGTAATCCAATTTATACACACCCCTGCTCGCCGGCTGGATAAAATGCACCTCGCCTTTTTTATCTGTGGCCAGCGAGAATATTTCATCTATGAAGAACTCCGCGCGCTTCGTGCCATTTTTTAATCTGTATATCATCGAATCGCTCATGAAGTAAATATCGTTCCTCTTGTCGACAATAAAATCGTCTACACGAAAGCTCGACAGCGCTGGAATATTGTACGATTTCTTTTTCTCGTACACGTAGATCCCTTTGGATCGGAACACGGAGTAATAGAGTTTGTTCTTGTATTGCAAATGCCACACTGTCTTGTCGAAGAAACCGACGCTTTTGGCGGTGTTTGTTGACGGGCTATATTGGTAGATTCCAACTGTTCCGGACATGTAGACGTCTCGTGTGGTCTGGTCAACAGCCCGTCCGAAGGTAAAGCCAGTTTTCGGGACTACCTTGAATTTGACGTCGTTCAAATCAAACGCACCAGTGTGGTCGACAGAGCGGTTAGTTCGGTAGTGAAAGTAGAGGATGTTCGCCGTGAGGTCAACCGCAAGCTGCCCGGAGATTTTGTGGGCGCTAAATACGTTGGAGCGGCTGTGGCAGATTCCGTTGAGGCAGGCGTGGCAGTGCGGCCGCCTAGCCGATAAAGCCCCGGTCAAATTCAGTAGCAGCAGTGAAAGTACTTTCATTTTGGTCCTGCGAAGCAAGAAAATAGTTTCTGTTTGACAGATGAACTGGGATTACTTTGGAGAAGGGGTCATCTACTTGGTTGCTACGACAAATGTTTCTGGCCAAATGGTTCTGAGCCGGTGCAAATAGCACAGTACCCCTCACGAAACCCCCATATTAAGCGGCAGACACCACCGTGCTTGCCGCCCAGGGTCTGATTATTAGTGGGGAAGGATGCGCGCGTAAGCCAGTATCCTGCGCCCCGGTCTCCATCGGCGGATATCCACGGTGGCAGTTGCGTTTCTTAGTATTTCCGCGACCGCCTTCCGGGTAATAATGTCCATGTACGTAACATGCATACCTCTATGTATTTCTTACATTGAATCGAAACGACAAACCTTCGCGAAATGGTGAGTTAAATGGATAGTTGGTAAATGCAGTAAAGATCAGGATCTGTTGAGATTCAGCTATGAACCGATAAATTATTGGATTTAACTAACATTAGCCACGGACCAAAAACCCGCCATCATGTCAATATAAGTAGAGAATTTCCCGCCTTTATTGCTTGCCGATTTTGAAAAAAGGGCGAATGGTTTAAGGCGCAGTGCCTAAAAGTAAATTGCCAGTGATTAGCAGTAAATTTTTTTACATTATTCTTATAACATGAAAGTTTTTTACTGCGGAATGTTGGATATAAATAAGACTTGAATGATCTGGTATACTCACTTGAACTTCCTGTCACTCATATTAAATTACACAACAACAAAAATGGTCAATATAGGACTTTCTACGGAGTCATTCACATCCGAAACGGGCTGATTGTTATTTATTACTGAGGTTAACTATTTAAATGCCGCCCGTTTTAATAACATCGTCGCAATGACTCCAGTTGACCTTATTGATATATTTTTATCGTTAGAACGAATCACTGTACAAACAAATTGTTTTATCGCGTCTTAATTAATTGACGATGGAGAAAACCCGGGAACTGCGATGTGTTCATGTTATTGTCGCCGTGCGAGTTCATTCATTTCTAGGGTTCCGCACTTAAAGGGTAAAACGGGGCCCTATTACTAAGACTCCGCTGTCTGTTTGTCACCAGGCGGTATCTCATGAACCGTGATAGTTAGACAATTGAAATTTTTATAGATGATGTACCTATTTCTGTTGCCGCTATAACAACGAATACTAAAAAACAGAATAAAAAATATTTAAGTGGGGCTCCCATACAACAGACATGTTTTTTTTGCCATTTTCATAGGTACGGAACCATTACGTTACCAACGTTACGTTAACCAATGCGTTACGTTATGTTTTATTGCTTGGTATATGTTTCTACGACGCGGCAGTCGAAAATTTTTCAAGACAATAGGCAAACAACAGTTAACATACCCATTTGCAGTAAATGCCCTTCCATCCTCCAGTACAATTGTCGCGAAATGACCATTTCAATAGTATCTTTTTTTCCTCGTCTTCTTCCATTCTTTACTTTACTTGGCCGATCCTCATAAGGAAAGACCCATTGAGCAGATTGTCTTTTGGTTTCAGGTTCGTAGCAAATTTATACGACCTAATCTATGTACTATTTGTGTACACGCCCCTCCTATACAGTATAAAGTTATGTCATAGTCGAAGAAATGTTAAAAAAAAGAGAGATGAAATGGTACATCCGGTATGGAAAGAAATTCCTATAGCTATATGTATGACATGAAACGCACAGTGAAATAAATTTCTTCACGTGATAGGGAAATAAAGAGTTTCATTAATCTTTTCCCATATGTGGACTTTCATAATATTAAAATCAACTTTCAAACATTTAGAGACCTTTAATTTTGAACTAGAAATAAAAATTCATCCTCATAACTATCATAATTTCAGCCTGTTTCGGTAGACTGCAACTTTCGAACATAGGCTTTCCCCACAGACTGGCACGAAGCACGATGCTGAGCCAGCTGCATCCATCGACTTCTCGCACACTAGCACAGGTCGTCACTCTGTCTAGTGGGGGGTCGTCCTATACTACTTGTCTGAATGTGTAAATCAAACTCGTTTGATTCTTCAAACTTTTCTTGAAACACTTCGTTGTAAGAAATCAGTGCCGGCCATTTTGTAACAATAACATTAAGGCTATAGCAATGGCAGAGACTAAACAATGCCAGAGTATCGGAATCGGAATGTGTTTATGTGTTCAATTATCCTTTGAACACACGATGGCTTCTTAGTTGCACGCCTCGCCCCATCTTGTTTAATATATAGCAAGGTCGAGTTTATAAAATATTCGACCGTTAGTGAGAAACGTGACGGTGTTTTGAAAATTACTTCTAACGTAGTATACATTTAAATGTTCAAACAGCGGCGTTTTGGCGTCAGTCGTAGGGTGGTAATTGCTCATGATGGTGAGTCAATTTTTTTGCTAGATTAATTGTATTAGTAATATCCCTTACTACGTATACTACTACTCCTACTACTACTGTATAAGTAGTGAGAGATCTAAGATTCTTTAGTGGTTTGGGATCGTGAGGTTTGGAATTTTCAATGAAATCAGAACTGCAGTTAAACCTGATTTTTTAAATACTTACTCACGTTGTGCAGCTAGCGTGTCCTTTGTTTCCTTATTTTAACTGATGATTTTGCTTTTAGCCCGAAGCTCGAGAAGCTTCCATAGTCTTCTCACTCACCCCGAAAGTATAATTCTTGCACCCCTCGTAGGTCCTCTACGAGCGGTACCCCTGACGCGTCTGCCAATTTTTGCATCAGCAAAAGCTGCTTGCTCGACCTAAATAAAAATTTCATTACTTCGTCATTATTGTTTCGTTTTGACAGGGCTTTTGGATTATGACATTCTGTGTTATTGGCATCGCAGCGGCTAATTATAAACCTTGCGGTGAACGCAAAGATCAGGTGAGTGTAAGTGAATTGATCCAGGAGGTTGCAAATACAGTAAATATTTTTTTATACGAAAAGTTGGCAAACAATCTGGTGGTTCATCTGATATTACGTAACTACCGCCGTCCATGGATATTTACAACACCGTGCGGATTCGTTGCCAACCATTAAAACTGGTGAACGCTAACTGGTGATTGCTACATATTTCGTGACTATCAAATTTTTTGTTACTATCACGTTTCAGTTAATTGTTGCATAAGTTACAAGTTCCGCTTCTGAATAATATTTATGTATCAGACTATTATCAGCGCTTGTTGTGCTTGTTTGAAAACTAGAGGACCTACCTCGGTTTCCGACGGCTTTCTATCCGTGGGAAACGTGGATTCGATTCCCGCAGCAGCGAACAATTTTTAGTCCAGTTTCTTCTACAAGTTTTATTGTTTCATCTTAAGTGCAGAGATTAATACCAAAAAACTATATTATTACATTTAACAAGCTAAATTACGTTTGCGTTTTAGTGAAATTGCACTAAACGCTGGGTAGATAATATCACTAGGCTAATTCTGAATACTAGATGGTTATTCTTGCGTTTACCGAAGGAAAAATGTAACCGTGACTCATAACTCTAATTATACTTTTTATTTTAGACAAATTGCCCCTACGAAAGGCAAGGTAATGGGTCGAAGTCGAATCTGAATCAGACAAGTTACCAGAACAAGGCAGACGAGGGAGCGAAGAAGACAATTGCTTCGGGTGCTGTGACAGTGACGAGTCAAAAGAAGCATATCAGGGATGAGGACGAACCAGCTATGGGTCACGATGAAACCGATAGATCAGAGAGAGAAGATCACTACTCTCAGTTTGTAGCACAGTTGGTGGTGAAGACAGACAGCGAGATAACTGGTTTGCAGGTGAATATCAACAAGCGTATCCTTGGCGTGTGCTTACATGAATGAGACAAGAAAGTTCAGAATCCATACGGTAGGCGGCAAAGTAAGAAGTCACGGAAGGTGATCAGATAGCGTCAGGTGAACTGTTTGCACTAGTTGGCAAAGTTAAATAAACAACTCACTCATCCTTATCAGCCAATACGTGAAAAATCTCGGTTTACTTCTTGACATGATACTAAGCCAATTGCACTAGATCAATTGCAAGCTTTCTGCGAAACCAAAGTAACTCTCGTGCAGGTCCCTATAGTCGACTCTGGTGATATGTTCTTCGACTTAAATGCAGATCACCTCAATAAACTCTACTGACTCCTTATTCGATTCCTTTTCAATCTTCGTAAGTACGACACATGTCTTCCTATCTATTCATCAAAGATTTTCTTTAAGAGCCTTGGAGGCACTTTATTCCTTTCCCTTCTTCGTCCACTTTCAATATCTTTGTACAATAAACAATAATCATTTTCGATCTAAGAATTGTCGTTTTTTCCAATGTCCTCGTCGTTTTGATTTCATGCACTCATCTTTCTTCATCCAATTTACTCTTCTATGAAATACGCTACCACGCTTAATAAGCATGGCTAAGAGTCACTTTGCATTAAAAGTCTAATCTAAATCTAGCCTACCTAGGGTATGTGTGTGTATTTATGTTTTTTTGTTTATAATATCATTATATTTGTAATATGTTTATTACATGTTAGTGTTGTTTGGTATTATTATATGATGGCTATGATGTTTATTATGTACACGTACTCGTAGTTTCAAAGTTATGTGTATTCGTTTCTTTTGTTATTTAGTATTTTAGCACCTACTTCGACTTCTCTGGACCATTTGTTGGGTAGGCAGAAAATGTTATAATTAAGTCTGCTTTTGTATAATGATTTTTTTTAAATAATTCCTTAGATCAGCATGCAATAGGGGTTACCCGCTAGACAAGATTTCGAATTGAAGTGTCCGTACAGATTCTAAATGCGTTACGACGTTGCTTTCTTCCGTTTTGCCTCAATAAATAAACGTAGCATAAGCAGTAACGTAGCATAAGAGTGCTTTGTTGTTTTGGAAACGCTAATGGAATGTCAATCATGCCATGGACGTCATAATCAGTCTGATTTACTGTTTCATGATCCTTTTAATATTGGCTGTTTAAATAGAATTTGAGACTGACGAAACTGACTTTGATTGAGACGTTTAAGCATAAATGGAAGTCCTCGCTTTTACGTTTTTTGTAGATTGTGACAACATCTGACCAATTATTACTTGGGTTGAAAAAATAACATTCCAATAATGGAGTTAAATTATGACATTACGCTTTAGAAGGATAGGACGTACAATGATTAATTACAAATGGTAATAGATTAGTCTTACAAATACTTGCGAGTTAGTTGATCCTACCACCTACTGCGCTGAATCCAAACTCAGCGTTATACAAACAAAAACATTGATAATCTCAATGATCAAAAATGATAATCTCAAATTTCATTCCAGTCGACCCAGGTGGAGGAGGAAAATGCGAGAATGGAGGAAATTTTGCAGATTTGAAGACCCATAGGTTGTTATATATTATTGTGCAGGATACTAGACGGGTGTTCTATCTTTAGCTGATTATCGGCCGGTTTCAATATTCTATCAACACATGGATTTGCTTACTAGCGATAGGTATTTTAAATTAGCTTCATAGTATTTATGTCCAACAGTAGAGTAACCAAATCTGTCTGTAGATTGAATATTGAAACCGTAAACCTCTTCACTTTCACTATCGTCATAACTGAAGAATGTCAAGTGTATCAATACTATTTGATTTAAATCTGATTTAGCTAATATAGTTGTAATGTCCTAGATCAGAGATTCGTATTTCACAAAGACCAATTGTTTTATGATGGTTTGCGTATTAAATGTGTTAGAATATGGGGTAGACGTTTTTTGTAGTTAATATGGTCTTAAAAAATGTCTCGTTTTCACTTTTGGATTTAAGATATTGAGGAGAGGGTTAGGTGTTTGACTGACTGAAGCGCGAATGACTAACGCCCGGTTTTTCAAACACTGATCATCGTAGAAGTTAACTAATCAGCTGTCAAATGTCTGATTGGTTAACTTCTACGAAGATTAGTGTTTCAGAAACCGGGCGTCACTGTATCTCTTTTAGATTATAGAGTGCGCTGAGTATTTTATTTAAGGTCATGTGAATTGTTATGTCAGCGTGTTTTATTTTTTTAAAACATGTGCACATTCCGCCGTATTATTTACTAATGTTGTGTTGTTGAAAATCGTGTTATCTTAAAGTTTTAATTTGTTTTTTTGTTTTTGTATAACGTCGTTGTTGGTAATATGGTTGGGCAGGCTCGTCTGGGAATGGACTGGTATAATTTAGCAAACCGGTGGCGGCTTTGACGTTTCAAGAGAATAAGCCCGAATTAAAAAAAGGAATTTTGTCGTTAGACTGTTATTCGTTAGACATTTTCAAAAGTATAAACGTAATCAAAACTTTATGAATGAAACTATTATAACATGTAATCAAAAATGTTATTTTATTTTATTATTACAAACTGTAAATAAATTTGTTTACTGGGCTCCTCCTTATAAACATTAAATATACTTAATGTCTCAATTATCCGTGCCCGGAATTTTCTTAAAAAATGGATCCAAAATCTGCACATATTATAAAATAAGTATATCTTTTACTTGTATTTTTTTAATGGAATCAAATATGAAGTGAAGGTTACAATTATGAGAAGTCTCAAGTATCAATCTAAAAAAATCTACGCAGCGTACTAATAATGAAATACTGCCATATTCATCTCACATATTTTGTTAAATTGTTGTCATATTTCTCCATCCTTAAACGCTTCGAGTGTTGTGAAATGATTCAGTGCCGGAATTAGGTCCCAGAGGTACGGTTTTCTCATTTAAAGTGCGATCAACACACTGTCCCTACTCATACGTCAAATTATTTCTAATTCATGTGTATATAACATATAACGAGGTAAGTTTAACTGAAGGGAGAGTAATAAAACTTTACTATCATTTTAACATTTACAATCCGGTGAATCGCTTGTTAAAACGTCGGACAATCTCTCGTGTGGGTCCGCAAAACAACGATTAAGGTAACAGCCGCCATCTTTAACCGGTGTGCCAACCGTACAAAGGACAATAAAATAATTTGAATACGATTTTTCAATCAACTTAAAAAACTACAACCTTTTTGAAAATCTCCTTTAATGTTTGTCACCTACCTCAGAACTCGGTCACGTATGACAGATTTAAAAAAAAAAATTGTTTTGGGTTTTGGTTTAGCTGACATGTGGTCCCGTATTAATTTATTTAGTGTTTTTAATTTTTTTTTAAAACTTGTCCTTGCTGTGTGTATAAAATTTTCCTGCGTTGTAAGGACGTTTTATAAACAAAAACTTCACGCGGACAAACACTCAGATCCGAACCAATTGTCTGTGGGTCACACAATCAGATCGCGTGGGCATCGAACCCACGACCCGCAGCGCCTAAGCCAATACCTTGGCAATTGCGCCACGGAATCATCGAAATCGTCATCGAGCACCTCAAAATCAAATAGATAATGTTCATTGAGATATTCACATGGATTATGTTGTGTAGTATTGTGTTGTCTATAAAAACATATATTATTGTATAAAATACATGTATTTGTATATTTATAAATCGTCATCATCCCTCTGGCCTTATCCCACCTAGGTGGGTTCGGCATAACAAGTGAGTCATGTTGTGTTTTTTGGCTAGGGTTTTACGACCGGTCGTCTGCCTGACGTCAAACCTCCTTGGGAGTAAACACTCAGATCTGGAACAATTATCCGTGGGTCACACAAATACTTGTCCCGTATGGGAATCGAACGCACGACCTCCAGCGCCGAAGCCAATGGCTTAGCAATTGCGCCACCGTATCATCGTCGTATATTTATTTATTTATATTATTAACAGGTTCACCGACTTACGTTCACATATCATTATTAAACATTAGTACTTGGAGGACCGAGCTTTGCTCGTTTTTTTTGGTAAATCATGTATTTTGGAAATAAAGAAAAATAAAATAAAGAAAATGATGTAGTATAGGAAAAAAAGTAAAAAAAAATAAGTGTGTAAATGATCGTGATACGAACTGCGGCCGTCTGTTTTGGGGCCGCCCGATTACCGACCGAGCTATTATAAAATTTTTTTGCGGCGAAATTTACTGTCATATTCGAATGATATTTTTCATTCCTTGAAAACAGGGATAAAAGGATCGATTTTTCGTCCCCGAATCTACGCATAAAATCGAAAAAATTTCATGAAAATCGTTGGAACCGTTTCCGAGATTACGATTATGTATATATATATATATATATATATATATATATATAAGATGAAGATGAATCACACATCACTTACAGGCGAACACCACAAACACTTTTTTCTAAGCCGTGATAGCTTAGTGTCCAGGCGCGAGTCCTATGCCCAGAAGTGGGATATTTATAGTACTAGTGTACTATTGTACTAGTCTGTGCATAAAGTTTAAATAAATAAATAAAGTAATAAGATTTCAATCCAGTCGGTTTTGTTGTTTGTTACTGATAATGTTTAACTTGTCTATCTGTACGTACCGCATCGATGTCACATTTGCGATAACACTTAAAAGTATCCTCAAAGCGCGCTAAGTATGTGCGGCGTGTGCCGTTGACACAGTGTCGCGGTGGCCGGCCGCGTCCGCTGGTGCCGAGGTCGGTGCCGAATTATCGATTCGAGTCTCGCGCGGGTCAATACCGCACCGCGCCGTCCGAGTGAATCACCGTCGCTAGGCGAAATATTGCAAACGCAATATTCGGCCACTTATCCTCATATTGGGGATATTCAAAATGTTACTTACTAATATGATGAGCTGATCATATATACTTACTAACATGATCGTGCTGTTGATTGACTCATTTTTTCAGTGGCAGGGCCACGCAACACACATCGGTGTTGCACGAATGGGCAGGTCCGTCCGGGTGAATACCACGACCTCAGAGAAGACCGGAAGAAGTGGAAGTGTAATACTTGTACTTGTCGTCTGGTAAGTGAAATCGCCGGGGCCCACTTTATTTAAAAGGTGGCAACGTAAATGCAACCCAACGGTTGTTGCAAGTGTCAATGGGCGGTAGTTATCACTTAACATCAGGTGAGCTATGTCTTGAGGAAAGTCCATATTTTTTTTTTTTTATACGAAAAGTTGTCAATCTAGCAGCCGGTTCACCTGATGTTAAATGAATGCCGCCGCCCACGGACATCTGCAATACCTGAAGGCCTGCAGATGCGTTGACAGTCTTTTATAAAGTGGGCCCGGGTTACCTCACTCACCAGACGAAGCGCAAAAGTATAATACTTTCACTTCACGCCGGACTTCTGTGAAGCCGTGGTTGACTCATCAGTCTTCAGGAAAGTATATAATAAATAAATATTTTCGGACGCGTTTTTACACAACGTTCTCTAGTCCCAAACTAAGCAACGCTTGTGCTACGGGTAATAGAAAACTGATACATACTAAAACATATTTTTCTTTATAAATAGATAAATACTACTACATAGTATAAAACAAAGTCGTCCCGCTGTCTGTCTTTTAAAACTACGCAACGGTCTTGATCGGGTCGATATTCAACTGTCATATTAAAATTTTTAGAACACAGAATGGCAGTTTGGGACGACCCCCCACTAGATGGAGTTACGAACTGTGCAAATGTGCGGGAAGTCGATGGATGCAGGTGGCTCAGGATCGTACTTCGTGGCAGTCTATGGGGGAGGCCTATGTTCAGCAGTGGACTCAAACAGGCTGAAATGATGATGAAACTGACTCTATCACAAGTCTCCTGTATACAGGTCATTAAAATTTTACCTCAAGACGTGGTCGTCGACCACATGCATCCATCGACCTTCCTCGACATTATGTAGAGGTAACCCCGTCTAGTGTCCATCACATCGTACCTCGAGAACCTTTCATGTCCAAATATTTGCAGATGCCACCTTATAATAATTGGACACCGGCTTCCTCGCTAACCAGAAGAAACTCAAAAGTATAACTTCTTCCACTTTCACTTCGCGCCGGTCTTCTGCAAGAGATCACGTGAAAATTAGGTAGTTAAATCGATTGCAAGGAATTAAAATCGAGCGTACGGTCACTGAGAATCCACTATGTTATTGTTAGTAGGAAAAGAAAACTGAAACGCTAATGGTATTGACTTTCGGTAATGTATTAAAATATTCAAATTACCAAATATACCTACTTAAGTTCTAATGATTAAAACTAATCTATCCAATTAAATATTAGAATGTAATGTATCTAATCTAATATTGTGTTTCCTAAACTGTTATACGGAGAAGTGTATACGGAAAACGTGAATTAATTTAACTCACCATTAAAAGCCGGAGCGAGAAACCTCATAACGTAGATAACATGTGCTGACATTAAAACTCAAATATTAATTTAATTAAATTCTTAAAACCAAACACGTGCTTCTGGGTTACGAAATATGAAGCGTTAAATTGATAAAAAAGAACGCGCA